CGTGCGGCGCGGCGGGCTGCGAGTGCCGGCGGCGCTGCACGTGCGCGCGCGCGTCGCCGGCGCGGCTGGCGGCGCGGGCGCGGGCGCCGGCGCGCGCGCTGTCGGACGACGAGGAGCGGCCGCGGCGGCTGTACAAGTCGGCGTCGCAGGTGGTGTGCGCGCCGGCGGACGAGCCGCCGAAGAAGCCCGCCGACCCGCTGCTGGAGACCACGTGCTAGGCCGAAGGTCGCGAGGCGCGCTCGGTTCGCTCGAGCCGCCCCTTTTTCGATGTATGTACGAGTATTATTAGTGTGAATTTTTGTATCCCTTTAGTGTTTAAGGTTTCAAAATTAATATTGTATCATATGCGATTGTTATGAACGTGTCACTTGCGTGTTATGTCGCGCCGCGACGTAGAGTGAATGTTTCTCGCGAAAGTGTTGTGTATTATATTTTACTTCGGAAGGTTGTGCATTAACGTGAAAGTTCGGACGTGATTTCATTATCTTTCGATAGCATTTTATGTTATTAGCCCTATGTAATATTTAAGGTCGACCGTTTTGTAACAGTATGTGAATGAAGTTTTGTCTAGTTCCTACTGTTTCACTATATCAACACCATTATAAATTTTACGCACAATCGTTTATATCTTTTTTTTATTCTGAATTTTATTTTGCAAATATAAAATTACTGTTTCAATACATTCTTCCATAATCTGTTGTATATAGTGCTAGATATAATAAAACAGTAATTATACAGTATACTATAAAATAAAATCTCATTATTCAAACTTTTTACTGTTACATTATTATTATCATCATTACCTACATCTGAGAGTAGGCGCACACCGTTGATTTTTCGTCGGCCGATAGTTTAGTCGGGCAGTTGATCAGTATGGGCATGTATGGGAGTGCGCACACGATTCGATTTGGCCGATTCTTCATACAAATTAAAATCGGGCACAACTATCGGCCAACTAAAAATCAACGGTGTGCGCCTAGTCGTAATAGGTTATTACGATTAAATTAGTTTTGCCACAAAACACTTATAACTTATTTTGTAGGTAGATATGTCACCATAAAATTGTAAACTCCGTCACCTTATTCTTTTTTCCGTGGGCTATAATGGCTATGACTCCCTGCCAGAAGGCGGGCGGGACCTATCCGCTGAAACCCGACGGTGTCCTCCCGTGCCCAATGAAACGGTGCCGCGAGCTATTGTTCTAATTTGCATATCCGTCAGTTTTTTCTTACTACCTAATCCACAGTAAGTTTACAATGTTATGTTTTTACCAAAACTGACGGAGATCACGATCTTACGGTGAGACATACCTACTTTTAGGACATATTTTCACAGCCATACGGCTGCACAACAAAAAAGTCAGGAAACAATAGTAGCCAACTCCAAGTTGTTTTTCCATAGTTTTATTAATATGTCGCATATAAATACGTCATAATCATGATAAGTATATTTCGACATGAAAGATAACAATTATAAATTATTGGTAACATTGAACAGTAATCTTATCATTTATACTTAACCACCATTAAAATCGGTCATTACATTGAAATTATCGAATTATTTTTTAGGTTGGTTTAGTAATAATCCTTTACCATAATGGTCACGTATGTCTCTTTTTTTCTCTTTTTAAAGGTGTAAAAGAAACAGACATAGGTTAATACTGCCACGGCGACAAGTTACGTTTTTGCTGCATCTTTTCTAACAACTTTTTAATAACTTATTCGAGCGAGACAGATTATTAAAAGATATAACCAACCCACCAATCGTTCTACGGCGCTTAACGTAAAAATAAAACTCCAATATAAGGTATAAAAAAATATTTATTCACAACTTTATTGCACTTAAATAATAAAGGTACATTGGTGAACTTAATTGAATTACCTTTTGTCGTCTACACTTCAACACTAATATTATAAAGAGGAAAACTTTGTTTGTTTGTATGAATAGGCTCAAAAACTACTGGACCGTTTTTAAAAATTGTTTCACCATTTGAAAGCTACATTATCCACGAGTAACATAGGCTAAATTTTATTTTGGAAAAAGGGTTCCGTAAAATATGTAGATAGTGTACTACCTAGTGCACGCGCGCGAAGCCGCGGGCGGAAAGCTAGTTTTAAATCAATATAAATTGATGAAAATTTTGATTTAATAATATCGATCGCCCCGGGTGCCAACCCATGCTACGCCGCCACTGTTAATACATCCGGGTTTACCAGTAGATTTCCAACCCTAAGGCCCGGTTTCCAACAAAACGAAAAAATCATAAACGTGATGATTGTCGTAAACAGCCGTCGTCTTTGTGGCCAGGAAGTGTTACCAGAGTTTTTGAGGAGATTAAAATACCTATAGTAAAGTCAAAGACTCGCTGCCGATAAAAATTTATACAGTACTATAAACTACCGTTACGATCAACCTACGTAATAAAAATTTAAAAGTTTGAAATGTAATGTATCTAATTAACTGCCTAGTTTGAATCAATAAAAAAAAGAAAGCGATAAAAGTTCATTTGGGTAGGTACCGCGGTGTCCTAAATGTCCTCTTAGAAATTAGGCACGGGAATCATCGTTTTAAGAAAAGCTTACGTATGTAGGTAATCTAGCAAACTATGGCTCTGACTAGTAACGGCGGTGACAGCATCAGTCAGTAATGCAACGGGTTTGATTCCTGGCCTTAGGTCAAGTTAATTTTAATTTGAACGAAAACTATGGAATGTGGATCGATCGAATCGTTCAACTACATCGGGGGATATTAAAACTTCGTACTAACATCGTGCATTCGTTCGATCAATAGTTTTCGTTAAAATGAAAATCGATCACTTGACTTTCGGGATATCGTAGGGACCATAAACCTCAAAAACTTTTCCCAAAGTACCTACCTATCACATCCCTAACTACTATAAGCAAATAATGTTCATATCCCAAAATGAAGTATCAAATTATTTTTTCAGGAAAATAAAATAGATTGCAATACCCTTCGTTTGGCCACCCCACGCTCCTATAAATTTCTCCCAGGCACCCCCTTTTTCAAGGACTATACCTACTTAATACTCGTACATTCATCTTGTACTTAGTAGGTAATCCTTTTAATTCTTACCGTACCCTGTGCGAGCCGTAAAGCCCAAAAATACTTACGTAATATCTAAACGTTTTTTTTTTAAATCTATTTGTAGCCCATCTACTTTTTATTTAAATTTATGTGAACTGACACCAATGCTGCTACTTCTTTAGATGATTTTAGTACAAATTCATGTGTATATGCTACTTCTGTCATTCGTTCCAATGGCAAGAATTTCTTTAAGTCTTCCATATATTTTAATGGGACCCAACCATCATCCTGGCTATAGATTACGTTTGTCACAGATTTTACATTTGCGATTGCCTTTGTATTGAGACTTCTAACTGTATCCATTTCATCATATGCCAGAAATAATACTTTATCCAAAATATTTGGGTTTACGTATTTAATCAGACGATCTGTATAATGAAATGGCATATTTCTAAATAGTAAATAAGTTTTAGCTATTAAACCAAGAACAAATCTTGGCAACATATTAAATAGGATAAGAAGGAATATAGCAATCGAGTGAATTTTTCTTAACGTATTGACAAAAGGGCCATTTTTAGTTACTGCCATTTCTTGTAATGTAGGAAATAGTAAATTAATAGTTGCAACCCTCTCCATTAACTGTTCATTTTTCTGTATTGATTCCAATATCATCCAGGCTCCAATGGAATGGCCGATTAAATGCAATCTACAATCTTTGTGAATATGGTTATTGATGAGGTCAAGTTTATGTTCAATTTGTCCTCTGAGATCAAATAAATACCCTTCATTTTGCAAAGAATATGACCGCTCATTTGGAATAATATCATGGCCACTTTGACCTGAAACAAACAAGTAATTATGTAAGTAAGTAATTTATGAAAAAGAGTGATTATAACAAGACCTGTTACTATTTTTTACACGTTATACAAGCGTCTGAGCGATGAAACTCAAAACTCTCATTATCCTAATACATGATTATCACGCGTAATCACAAAAACGATGAAGCAGCAAATCGAACACACAACGTTGAATAGAGCTCTGTGATTGGTTCGTTTGTCTCCCTGTGCGTACACGCGCACTGTGAGACCTCATACCTAGTAATGTTTGTGAATACGGGCGTGAGATACCGAACTAAGTAAACAAAATTTTGTTTTAAGCATAGTTACAATATGATAATAAGGATCTGCGAGTCGAACTAAATTTTACGCGGGCGAAGCCGCGGTAAAAATCTTGTTGGTACAAATGTGGCGAACTTAATGTCAGAAGCATTCACTTATATAGTTAAACATTCGAAAAAGAATAAACCGATTGACAGGATACCTAACGCATTTGGAAAATGCGGGCATTTTTAGTAGGTATGAATAGGGTTGCCAGGCGTCCGGCTTTAGCCGGACATGTTTGGCTTTTTAGGGACTTGTCCGGCCAAATATTGCCTTGTCCGGCCTGTCCGGCTTTTTATTTGGTTGCCGCGCCATGGTGAAAGTCGAGCCACAGAATCATATGAAGCGCACGCATCAGGATGTTGGATAGCAACCGATGATGATAGTACTCACTCGTGCGTGACCTGACACTAATTGCCCCCCCCCCGTCACATGTCCGGCTTTTAGGGTAAAATGTCCGGCTTTTGTGATTTTGGACCTGGCAACCCTAGGTATGAACATAAAATATGCAATGGCAATATAACATCAAAATATCCGCCGGGTGAAGCCGTGGGCAAAAGCTAGTGTTCAATAAAAGGGGCCATTCATTTCTGTGATTTACTACGTCAGACGATATAGGGGGGAGGAGGGGGGTCCTGCATATCTTATTTTTTATTACAAGAAGGTGGGAGGGTCTCGATAGGTCTTATTATTTACGTAAGATTACAAAAATGTGCATGGCTGTTAATTTCCATGGCAAAGGATCCGCGTTACCCGCACTGGACTCCCGGGAATTCCCTGCTTGCGTAGGTAACTAATTCGTCAAATAGCGTATGTAAAACATAATATTTTTTTCCTCTAGATTCTTACGTAATACATATATTAAACAGGGGGGGAAGGATCGGCCTAGACCCCTAAATCGTCTTACGTAATAAATGAATGTCCCCTTAGGTAGGTACTACCACAGTAGATAAATCAAACAGTACGGAAGCTTCATACAAACGCTCGAAATCAGACTCACGCACACAGACGCACGCTTTACACGAGCTCTAAGCGAACCTCGCAGTCCATCCGTCGCGGGTGTCGCGCGCGTTGTGTTTTTAATAATAATTTTATTGCATGCACTGTCCGCTGTATTTTTAAAAACATGCCACGAGTGTATTGCGTAGTATACGGCTGCTTGAACTCGGCATCTTCAAAACTAGAGATGAAACGGATATCCGGCAACTATCCGGTAGGCCGGATATCCGGCCTAAATTTACTATCCGGCCGGATACCGGATAGTAACTCACTATCCGGCCGGATACCGGATATTAAAAAACTACGACAATTTCCTTTTAATAAAATTAAATACATTAATCTTTGAGGTAAATATCAATAAAATGGCTTATAATAATGACGGCTTTTATTTAAAGTCCAAAAAGTTACAAAAAAGCCATTCTTCAAAAAGCCTTTCAAAAAACTAATTTCTTTTTTTGGGCTATTCACTCTAATGACGAATACATAAATACAGGGTGGCCCAGAAGACAATTCACTTTTGAAAATTGAAGGAAACTTTAACTATTGCATGTTGAAGGAAAAATGTAATTTATTTTTAAATTTACCTTTATTAAATTACATCGCCCAGGAGATTTCTTTGACGCTTACAACATTCGATCAACATACATCAAAATCTTGAAATGCGTTCGTTAGAATTACCTCGAAACCTATTTTCAATTTTTTGCCGAATGCTCAGCTTCAGTTGCTGCATGTTTGTTGGATTATAAAAGGAACCAATCATCGACATATATTATTCCCCAATAATCGACACTTGTCGATTACTGGTAGCTCGACTATGAATAGTTTACTTCAAACATCTACTAAATGCGCAAAGTAATAAGAACTATATTCGGTTGTCAAATGAAAAATGTTCCAAAAAATTACTATCGACACGTGTCGATTATTGGAAAAGTCAGTTTGTGAAAACCAGTGATCGACACCAACATTTTACTAATATCAAAATAACATTTTAAATTCGTTATAACAAAAATGGATTCTATAGTTCTTAAAGTAACCCGTGAAAAAGATAAAATTCAAATAAGTTACAATACAGTCGTGTAATTAACAAAAAATGTACTCACATCCCTAAGGATTTTACTAAGAAATGTTGTTATTTTCACCGGTACTCCAGCCGCAATCAGTTTTATACTGCCATTTTCAAAATAAATTGGCGGATTTTGCTTAAATGTCAATGGGAGGCAGTCAAAAGTGTGCTTTCTATGGTACAGTGTTGACATATTAAGAAATCGATTTTATACTCTTATTTTATTGAATCAAAAAATAAAGTGTCGGTCATTGGTTCTTGTCGGTCATTGGTGCCACTACGTTACTAGGTTTGCCCGCGGCCTCACCCGCGTGAAATTTAGTTTTTCACAGATCGTCATAAATTATAGCTTATAGGTATATCATTCTGGGTTATAAATAATAATACTGTAAAGTTTCATCAAAATCCGTGCAGTAGTTTTTGCGTGAAAGATTAACAAACATCAAGGCATCCACACAAACTTTCGCATTTATAATATTATTAGTAGGATTATTTATTTATTTTAACTTACCAACTAGACAAACGGGAAGTCCAGTATTTGTGTTCAATTCTGAACAGAAAATGTCATAGAAGTCTATAATTCCTGGGTTTCCTGTGATACAGACGATAACTTCCGATGCCGATTCAGAAAATGGGTCACCCCATACCAAAAGCCTACCCTGAACATGATTTAGTCTCTTCAAAACTTCCATTTTATACGAGTTATTATAATTTTATGTTAACTTGGCGACGTTTATCTTGAATAATTTTTGATGGACTGATGTTTACGAGATAACTCTTGACTACCATTATCATCTTATCATCTGATAATGACATTTCAAACATATAGATGACCCACGCTGAACTGTCCCACCAAACTCAATGACAGGGGGGCGCTACCATCGTTCAACTATATGGTTTCCAACATGGCAAAAATCTGAACCAGCGATCCGGTATTGACGGTGGCGCCCCACTGTCAATGTCATCGACAGGACAGTCCAGTATTTTGGAACTATACTCTCTAAGCCCCGATTACGGTAATATTTAACGTCACCAATCCAGACACGCTTCTCGATTCTGCGATACGATTGGTCGTTCAACAGCGTACGTCAGCTGTTTTGACCAATCGTATCGCAGAACCGAGAAGCGTGTCTGGATTGTAAACGTTAAAAGTTACCGTAATCGGGGCTCTAATCTGTGATTTCAAAGTACAAAAACCGCGCGAGCCATAAAAAAAAAAAAGAAAAAAAAAGTACAGCACCAGACTATATTATTATATTTTGTTGTAAAATATCCTGTATTACAACTGAGAATATTCTCGGGAGCGCTCCCGGGAGCGTTCTCCTAAGTGAGAAAGGTTGAGAATCATGTTTATCAAATGGAAATAAACAAACTTTCTTAAGTAAATTAGTATTAAATTAAGTCGATAGATAAGTGTATATTAAACAATACACTCTATTTGCAGTGAAAGGCTATATTCCCAGTGTTCCCGAGAATATTCTCGGGAACTTTCCCGGCAATATTCTCGGCAACTGCACCTTTAATATATTTTATTTTGTTCGTCGTGAAATGTCGTTTTAATGATATGTAAGATGACAGAAATTTCTTTTTACACGTTATTAAATAATGTAACTGTCCATTTTTTCGTTTTTAACACGCTTTTATTAGGTCGTCGTGTATGTAACTAAACTATGTAATGGAATCGTAGAATCTGAATTACACGTACTTCTAAGTCTTGTATCATCATGAAACTTGGAAATTATAATGTAGATTAGATGACAATATAATATTGTGGTATCAGCTGGTCTGATAATGGGACTGGAAGGTGGCCAAAGGAATTCCTAAACGAAACGGCGAAATCACATCGAGTTTGGGGTCATTGGATTTGTCTTTTCGAGATCTTTAAGTGCTAGATAATGTCCAGGGTCCTAATGATGGAGTCAGGAGGTGGCCATAGGAACTCCTAAACGAAACGGTGGAAACTCATCGAGTTGGGTTCGTTGGATTTGTCTTTTTGAGCACTTTAATGCTAGATGATGTCCAGGGTCCTGATGATTTTTGGCCTTTTAGTGCTGTTAGTAATTAAAAGCGTGTTTTTAGTTTTTTAAACTATTCTTATTTGACATTAAGGACATATTTCACAATCGCTTAGTAAGGGCCTGTTTCGCCACTTCTGGATAAGTTGTGGATAGCTTGTCTGACGGATCATTTGACACATTTTTATAGAAAATACGTGCTAGCTAGATTGATCCGACACTTACCGAATATATCCCGGACATTAGTCTGTACGAGATTAGAATGGTTCTCAAACAGCTGAAAAACAGCAAGGCACCGTAATCACGGCTGAGCTTCTGAAAGCAGGCGGAATGCCGGCACTAAAGGCTTTTCAGAAGCTGCTCGATTCCGTCATCCTCGAGGGAATAACGCCTACGGCATGGCAAAGAAGTATGGTGATACTCATCTTCAAAAAAGGCGACAAGACCTTGTTGAAGAATTATAGACCCATTTCGCTTCTGAGCCATGTCTACAAGCTGTTTTCGATAGTCATTACGAATTGTCACGTTAGCAGGCTCGACGACTTTCAGCCCCCCGAACAAGCCGGTTTCCGAAAAGGCTTTAGTACCATAGATAGACCATAATAATATACGCTACGGCAGATTATATGGAAGATCAAGGAGTATAATCAGCCGCTTTGCGTTTGTGAACTATGAGAAAGCCTTCGATTCGATTGAGACATGGGCAGTGCTGCAGTCTCTCCAACTGTGCCAAATTGACTATCGATACATTAAAGTGTTGAAAGGCTTGTACAAATAAGCCACAGTGACAGTCCGTTTCAAGACCAGGACCCGAAACCTATCCAGTTGCAGCGAGGGGTGAGACAGGGAGACGTCATCACCATCGCCCTGGAAGATGTTTTTAAGCTTCTGGGCTAGAGCGGATTCAGCATAAATATCAACGGCGAGCACATCACTCAGACAACAGACGATATCGTAGTCATGGCCGAGATCGTGGACGATCTAGGCACAATGTTCGATGGCCTCAATAGAGTCTCTCAACGAGTGGGTCTCAAAATGAACATGGACAAGATTTAAAAATCATGTCTAAAGACCGTGTTGCACTCACTCCTCTAAAAGCTGGAGACTCTACACTCGAAGTTGTTGACAATAATGTATACCTGGGACAAACAGTCCAGTTAGGTAGGTTCAACTTCGAAAAAAGGTCAATCATCGAATCCAGCTCGGCTGGGCAGCCTTCGGGAAGCTTCACGATATTTTCACACGGCGTCTCCGTCGCGTTGCCGCTCCGCTTTAAATCCGCTTTGAATCCGCTTGCAATCCGCTAGGGTGGCAAGGGCCTTAAAACTCAGAGGCACACTGATGTTCAAATACCGTAGGCGAGTCCTAAAGCCGCGGTACGCGTTCGCCACGAAAAAAATGAGCAAGACAGCAATATCTCACTCACACGTGTCGTGCCTTGTTTATAACGACTAGTCTTAACGCCCAGTTTCGAAACATTACAAATAATATCACATAAACAACAAAATTAAAACTAAAACAAATGTATTCTATCGAGAACACTGAGAATATTCCCGGGAGCGTTCTCGGTTCTCGAGAATATTCTCACTGGGAATATTGCCGGGAACGAGAACTTTGTCAGCGGCACATCTCTAATTACAACTGCATATAGATGACCCACGCTGAACTGTCCCACCAAACTCAATGACAGGGGGGCGCTACCATCGTTCAACTATATGGTTTCCAACTCCAACATGGCAAAAGTCCAGTATTTTGGAACTATATACCTAGTTCCAAAATACTGGATTGTCCTGTCGATGACATTGACAGTGGGGCGCCACCGTCAATACCGGATCGCTGGTTCAGATTTTTGCCATGTTGGAAACCATATAGTTGAACGATGGTAGCGCCGCGTCTTTCCATTCTATACATAGCCAGAACGCAAGGGTGTGAAACTAATCGAGTATAGTTTGGATATGACTTTTTTTACTAAGCTCCTCCAAACTATACACGACCAGTACGCATACGCTGCGTACTGCTCGCGTATACTTTGTAGTGACTTAGGTCAATTATCTTCCTCCAAAATATACATCGCCAGTACGCATACGGACTAATCATGTTAATCATGTATGTATTGTAATAAGTGCGTGATTACAATTTATACGCGAGTAGTTGCATGCTAGTCATTTTGACTTATTGACCTCTCTTTCTATTACATACTAGCTTTCCGCCCGCGGCTTCGCTCGCGTGGAATTTTGTCTGTTACAGAAAAACAATATCGCGCGCGTATTTGCTCACCGTTTAGACCTACCCTGGACTACGACAAACATTTTAAAACCAAAATCAGCTCAATCGGCCCAGCCGTTCTCGAGTTTTAATCAGACTAACGAACATCAATTCATTTTTATTTATATAGATAGATTAATTCATATCTGCGTGTCTACTTTAAACATTGAATCATCTTACGACACGTGTCATTGTTTTGATAAAGGATTTTTTGGTGTTTCTTATTCTGCCATAGAAAAGATATTTGTTTTGGGGCTGATATTTCACCAATTGTAGGTATGGAAATATGTCAAAATGATTTTGTTCTTGAGATAAAAGTTAATAAATAAAATAAATAATAAATAAATATCCTTAGACATTTTACACTGCGCTTCTAGTCCCAAACTAAGCAAAGCTTGTACTATGGGTACTAGACAACGGATATAAACATAATTAAATACTTTTTTTTGTAAATACATACTTATTATTATACATAGAAAACACCCAGTCCAATACAAACAAATATGTTCATGCACACAAATGTTTGTACTTTGCGGGAATCGAACCCGCTCCCACCTCGACCCACTACACCAAACGGCCGACAATACAAACCTAGCATTTAAAGTCTCGCATAATATTGTATTTAATGCGCGTTGAACTTTCTTCTCTCACTCTCTCTCATATTAATTAAATTGTTATTTAATTTGAAATCTACCTAATCAATTTAATTTCAAAAACCACTTACAATAGTTTTAAAAATCTAGATTTATTATAGATTCAGTAAAATAATAATATTTTATGTAATAATATCAAATAAATGTAATTTTAAATATAGTTCCATATTTTACTGAATTTTACTAAATCAATATCAACTAAACACACTCTAGTCAAGTGTAAGTGGTGTAGTAGAAACTAATCGAGTATAGTTTGGAGATGACTTTTTTTACTAAGCTCCTCCAAACTATACACGATTAGTACGCAAAATTCGTGTATAGTTTGGAGTCACAGATTTACAAACAGGCACTCCGAAATATACACGAGCAGTTTCCTATGGGTGCGTTCTGGCCATGTATAGAACGGAAAGACGCGGTAGCGCCCCCCTGTCATTGAGTTTGGTGGGACTTTTCTCTATGGCATAGAGTAACTTATGGGCTTGCACCATAGAGTTATTAACCCTATGGCTTGCACCCAGCAGAGCATCTGTGCCAGTATTCTTTGATCTGTGCCCAGAGCCGTGAAAGAAAAACTGTAATAAAAAAAAAATCATCAGCTGTTGTTTGTTGCATTGCAGGTTCTTACTTGTATATCTTGTTTTCTTTCTCTACGTCTACAAAAACCGCTCTCTTACACTATGTCCAAGGAAAAGAAAAAAGCTCTATTTATCTGCTTAGGTAAGGAACATAAAGAGAAAAAAAAACCCAAGTATCAATGATTATAGCGGCTGTTTCGCATCTAACCCTCACATCTAACTTTATCCTTTCCGCAACCCCGACTATCTTATTAATTTCAGGAAATATTTGTCGTTCACCTATTGCCGAAGGAGTGTTTCAAAAGACAGTAAATGATATGAATATTGGTGATTACTGGGAAATTGATAGTGCTGCTATCGGTAGTTGGCATGTTGGGAATCCGCCTGACTGGAGAGCCTTAGACACTATGAAAAAACATGGAGTTCCTTATAATAACACAGCAAGACAGGTAATGGAAGTGGTAATTAAATCTATTAACTTTATTCTCACAAAGTAGGTAAGCAATAAGTCTGTTTTAAATAAAATTCTTCTTATTCTATTGCAAGTGTAAACTTGTAACGTCATTCTAACTTAATTTCAGATAGTTACTGAAGATTTCAATCATTATGATTTTATATTTGGAATGGATGAACAGAATATGAAAGACTTAAATAAAAGAGCGCCAAAAGGATCTCGAGCAAAACTTCTTTTATTTGGTGAATTTGATTCACAAGGTGAAAGAATAATCAGGGATCCATATTATGTAAGTAGTGATTTTCATCTATAAATAATTATGTAAGTATGTATGATATTGCATAATACATAATATCTTACCTAACTATTAGACAGCTTATTCTTAATGATAAATAATTAGAGATGGGCCGACTAGTCGGGAAAGCCGGCTAGTGACGACTATTCGGCAAAATATGCCGATTATAATCGGCGCATTACAAAATTAAATATGTGAATGAAATAAAACTCATAATCATCTTAGTGATATAGATAGACCAAGGGCGTTTGTCTAAACCGCTTTTGACTGCAAAAAATCAGTCTAAATTCATACACTTATTACTTAAAATTACCAGGAAATCATAAAAAATGTGTAAGGTTTAATGTAATATTTTGTCCATATTAAAATTATGTCTTTTATTTTGGGGAAAAAATGCATTGAATTGCATACCTATCCTGCGGGGAAGTGGTAGATTATGTGAGGCTCCTCTTATCGGAAGGATGAGGAATACCCACATAAACCCACATAAATTAATAATAAATTGACTTGTGTAAAACATTTAGAAATTAGGTAGATGATATTTAATTTTGATTAATAATAAATTGACTTATGTAAAACATTTGCATGCTGGTTCATATCTGGCGAATGTGTCCTGCTCCATTTCATTATGTAACATCTAATGTACCACATTCTGCAAATAAATAATTTGAATTTGAATTTGAATTTGNACCCACATAAATAGCCCCTGAGCTCCGTCGATCGCCTTAGTGTGAAGAACTATGGGAATCCGGACAAAGCCATCAACTATCACAGTCCGTCCCGGCAATTGCCCACCTGTATGGCGGGCCCTGCCCTGCCTATCCGACGGTGGTGGTAGTCCATGCTATGCAGGCGGGGGTACCCCCACGCCCCCAGCTCGCTGACTATCACCGTGGAGGGTGGAGAGGAATCAGTGGGCATAGGATGCATGCCGCGATAAGCGCAATTTTGTCCATACATTTTGACGTTGATAAGAAAGAATAATATTACTTCGCGCATTATAACCCAGCAGGAGGCGATCATATTGTCACCTACTCTGATCCCTCCGCCGTCGAAAATTATGACATCCACCTTAGGTACTGTTAGGTGATTGTAATGTTGCTTTTTATTTTTTCTCTTAGAAATCTAGATATTCTTATTTATTTGAGAAATCTAGATATTATTCTTCGGACAAGTAGGTATTAGAATGATCGGCATTGCCGATTAGTCGGCAATTTGAAAACCGATTAGTCGGTTAGTCGGGAAAGACCATAGTCGGCCCATCACTATAAATAATATATTTATTAAGTTACTGTACTGATTCAATACATACATCTTACTTTTTAGGACAGTGATGCAAAAGGCTTTGAAAAATGTTATGAACAATCAGTTCGATGTGCCAAGGGATTTTTGGAGTACTTACAAAAATCAGAAGCCAAATAAGCAGAACATAACTCATGATTATTAAGGCTGGGTTGCACCATCTTACTTTAACTTTGACAAACGTCAAAAATCTGTCAAAATCCATACAAAAAGCACCGATTATCGTTAAAGTTACAGTCAAAATTAGGTGGTGCAACTCAGCCTTAAATGTTGGTTTTAAAACTTAATGTTAAATAATTAAAAATTGTTTATAAATCACTTTTTTCATTCAATGTGTTTTAGCGTTTCTTCCATCAATGGAATGGTATCTAAATTATTATTGGAAATGTTTAAATTGATATTAGTTTATTCATTGCTATACTGTTACAGCTATGACTTAGGTATAGTGCTATTCTTTATTTCCTGATTGTAAATCTATATATATAAAAGAAAGTCGTGTTAGTTACTCCACTTATAACTCAAGAACGGCTGAACCGATTTAGCTGAAAATTGTCAGGGAGGTAGTTTAGAGCCAGGAGAAGGACATAGGATATTTTTTATCCCGTTTGAAATAAAAAAAGTCTGCTTATTTATTGCCATTAAGGCGGAACAAAGTTCGCCGGGTCAGCTAGTATTGTATAAACAGTACCTAGTTAGTAAAATTTACCTATCTAAAATATTGAAATAACTTGCAAAATAATTGCTTGTTCCTGTGTGAAATATTGTTTACATAATAACAACAACCAGAATATTCAAAAAAAATTTATTTACAAAAGCTTAAAGTTTGTCAATAATGAAAACAAAAGTTTTGATTGTCAGTTTTAAAAATAGATAAAAGTACTTAATCCAGTAGTAAAATACATTAATATAAAAAATTTAGCGTATCTTATGAGTAAACTTAATAATACAATCATTATTTTATTTATTCAACTAACTCGAGGTGTTGTATAAATTGTGGGCTTAATACCTAATTATTTATTGTAGATGATTTCAAAGTTAAATTTTTTGATTTCTGAGTCACATGTTAATGGACTTTGATCATTATTGATGCTCATTGAATCCACAAGGCAAGTTCTCAGAAAAGTAAAGTTTGTGTGCATATCTTTTTGTATCAAAAAATGTATAAACCACAGCAATGTAGCATCACTTGTTAGAGACTCCACATATTTAAGGCATACAATATCAGATTCACTCAGCACTCCATTATAAATCAATGCCTTTTCACCTGGTCTTAAATATTGGGTCTTGTTATGTACAAAGCTTTCATTCAAACAAGAATGCAATGCAGTTAACCTCGTTTTTGTTTCATTCCTTTTACTATAATATTTGCTGAAATTAGTATCAATCCATCCAAATTTTACTGGTTCAAAACGCATGTCATTTTGGTATGCTGGGGTATCCGGAATTTCATGATAATCAGCTGAAAAAACAAAAACATTATTTTCTTTATTGAATTTAAGAAATTGGTAACATGACTTGGTTTTGGGAATTAAACTGTTAATATCATAATAATTATTAATAATCACTTACGTGGAAATTCATCATCACTCTCCAGTAACTCTTTGATATCTTTTTGGTTACTTTTTAACATCGTTGTTGTTTTTAGGTACACCTTTTGTAGTAGGCGAGTAGGCGGTATTTATTATCAGTCTTGTTAATAATTAAATACTGCTTGCACACAGAACAGACGATGAATGACTATTACACACAGTAAGGTACCTATTTTGAGACAAATAAAGTAGATAACAATTTACACAATACAGCAAAAACTGGCAATAATTATAACAAAAGATGATTGAGATTATAAACGCGGAATGAATAGAAACCTATTTTTATATTACAGGAAATGATGGTATTCCCCTATTTTGTTGAAGTTGAATACCATAGAGAAAAGTAATACATAGGAAATAGAGAGCCCTCTCTGTCAAATTTTTGAACCTACTAATTGACAGCCTGGTGTTAAATTCCCTGTACTAAACCTACGTACGTAACGCTCACACACATATACAGGATGGCCAAAACAGTGAGGTCTAAAAGAAAAATTTAGATTCCTTACATCAAGGTGTACCTAAATCACCCCCATGTATATAATACGATTGTGCTTAGTTTAGGAGATAGAGTTAATTTTGTGATATTTTAAAATTTTGTGACCTATACCTTGATTTTTTAGAATCCAGCAGAGATGTAAACAAACACTTTCATACACAATTACACCATAATCACTTACGTGTTCATAATATCATACACATTATTTAACAAGCCCATGAAACCAACTTAATTTTTACGTTTATACAAGTTTGAAATCAATCTTTAAAACAAATTATTTTAGCAAAATACGTGGACGATGAAAATTTGTGAGACTTGTCAAATTGACTTGACGTTTGAAATCATGTGTTATCTCCATATTGTCTATGACTTGTCTCTGACACATCAGTGCTGTAACCTGTGAGTCATAGACAATAATCTGTAAATTTAATCGATATTATTTTAAGTATTCACTTATTCCGATTACTGATTAATTTTAAATAAAATATATACGATACTTTGTTTAGTTTTCCAGCGATAACTTCGACAATATTGGAGATAACGTAAGATTATTTTTCTACTTTTAGTGTATACTTTTTCGGAGTCAGTTTAATTTTTAGTCGGTTTATTTAAACGAAATTATTTTACTTTTTTATGCAATTATGTTCCATTGCTTATTTTCAAGTAAGTAAATGAAATAAAAATCTTCTTTCAATGAGGGTTTTCGCGATTGAAAAATCCGCCAGATGGCAATACGTAGACGCGAGGTCCAAATGCTGCGTGATTGTGGAAACTGATGATTAGGCTGAAGGTGGAAGGGAACTTCAACTACAGAGGAGATATGGCTTCCTACCTCCAAATGCCGGAATACAGTAATGCTATTAACATTATTGTTATAGTGACAGACTTAGGAAAATAGATTTGCTAGCCAGGTAGACTTAGATCAAACCCTACCACCAACCAAACCGAGCAGAAAATTTCACCTCCACTGGGAATCAAACCCGGGACCTCTGAAGCTTACCTCTTACCACTTGAAGACAGAGGCAGTTGTAACATTTTACTATTACCCATGAAATACCTACTACAGTGAGAAGAAAAAGGAGGGATATTTGGTTTATGTTCATTAAAACTTACTTAAAATAACAATGTGTTCCGGCATTTGGAGGTAGGAAGCCATAGCTCCTCTGTAGTTGAAGTTCCCTTCCACCTTCAGCCTAATCATCAGTTTCCACCAGGTGTGATGAAGGGCAAGAGCTTCCTCGTTGAGAATAAAAACATGTTCTGTCCAGTTACTGCTCTAAATCTGTTCTATGTAATGTAAATTTAGAGGATACCCAATATTAATTCACTCTAAGAAAGTCAAAAACATGTAACGGAATCTCCGACTTATCACTTTAGTGGACCGATTACAGGAAATAGTGGCCCATTAAGTACATGTTTTTTTGTATTATTATGAATGTTCAGGAAACGGCGCAGTTTTTAAAATGGTTTTGGACCTATGGAAGTTCTTTTTTTTACTTAAACTTTTACGTTGAAAATTTGATAGTGTTCTGATAAAAGCATAATTTTAATGTTTCTAGCAAAACTTTTGTAACTTGAATTAAAGATAGGAAGGTGATTATTTTTTTCAAACATCTGCAATTAATAACAAATCTGTAGAAAAAAAGAAATCTGAATAAAGTCAACCCAAAAAAAAGATAAAAATGTTTAAAGCCTACTAGGTCACAAAATTTTAAAATATCACAAAATTAACTCTATCTCCTAAACTAAGCACAATCGTATTATATACATGGGGGTGATTTAGGTACACCTTGATGTAAGGAATCTAAATTTTTCTTTTAGACCTCACTGTTTTGGCCACCCTGTATAAAGTCCACGCACACATACATACACAAAGTCCACGCACACATACACACAGTTCACGCACACATAGGCCCTCATAACCNCATAGTAATAAGAGTTACATTTTTCTATCATAACGAAATAAACGCAACACATGACAAGACAACCCTAGCGCGACGGCCGAGCGTGCGAGCGAGAGAGGTATGCAAAGCGAGGTACATACATGAGTTTACCTTCTGTTATATTTTGTGCCGAAAGGGCTAAGTTTCCGTACTGCTTTAGCTCATATACAGGGTGTCCCGTAATGTAACGTCAAGCCGGAACTGGGTGTTGAGGCAAGTTGAGCTGGTTATCAGAAAAATATAAAAAAAAATCTATGTGGCATATTTTAAAAATAATAGGCATTTAAAAAAAATCTAAAAATTCTACTCCAGGTGACGGTCCTTTTACTCGTGTTGCCACAAATCTTCACTTTTTCCAAATTTTTTTTTGTTATGTAGCCCTGAATAATGCTTCTCTAAATTGTTATCAAAATTACAAAACCAGCTGCTCCAGCTTGGATGAAAAAAATACATTATTCCCAAAAAAAAATTCAAAATAAAAATTTTGCCTAGTTTAAACTGACTGTACTGAAAAAAAATNNTACCTTGATTTTTTAGAATCCAGCAGAGATGTAAACAAACACTTTCATACACAATTACACCATAATCACTTACGTGTTCATAATATCATACACATTATTTAACAAGCCCATGAAACCAACTTAATTTTTACGTTTATACAAGTTTGAAATCAATCTTTAAAACAAATTATTTTAGCAAAATACGTGGACGATGAAAATTTGTGAGACTTGTCAAATTGACTTGACGTTTGAAATCATGTGTTATCTCCATATTGTCTATGACTTGTCTCTGACACATCAGTGCTGTAACCTGTGAGTCATAGACAATAATCTGTAAATTTAATCGATATTATTTTAAGTATTCACTTATTCCGATTACTGATTAATTTTAAATAAAATATATACGATACTTTGTTTAGTTTTCCAGCGATAACTTCGACAATATTGGAGATAACGTAAGATTATTTTTCTACTTTTAGTGTATACTTTTTCGGAGTCAGTTTAATTTTTAGTCGGTTTATTTAAACGAAATTATTTTACTTTTTTATGCAATTATGTTCCATTGCTTATTTTCAAGTAAGTAAATGAAATAAAAATCTTCTTTCAATGAGGGTTTTCGCGATTGAAAAATCCGCCAGATGGCAATACGTAGACGCGAGGTCCAAATGCTGCGTGATTGGTGGATTTTGACATATCTGTCAATGTCATGTCAAAAATAACCAATCATGCAGCATTTGGACCTCGCGTCTACGTATTGCCA